CCAAAAGGTTGTCAAAAAGCCTTGGCTTGATAGTATTTCAAAAGTTATTGTATTTCACTGTTTCCTTACGTGTCAACAAGTCTGTCTTGACATTTTACCATTCCGGTGGGAATAGAGAATCCAAACTGTTAATTGTTTAACAGTCTGTCACATTGCCTCAGCTATGCAGAATATATACATTATTTTGCAGAAGGTTCTGTATTTCCTGAAGACTACAATGAGGCTAATGAAGTCAACAGGGAGATTAGAAATTATATTGAATTAAGCAATACATTTTTCAGTTTTAAAGATGCCCAAGATGTGGTGCATTAAAGGCCGCTGACGCTATAGGCCAGGAAGAATACTGAACTTAATCCCATCGCAGAGACACCATGCATGAATATGATTTGGCGCAAAGTTGGAAAGGCCCTAAGTAAGGAATCGTTTGAGAATATAAGCATTTCAAAGATAGACCATGCTTAAAATTCTAGTCACATCTTAACATATAATCCGCTTTATAAAAAAGTAAGAATATATCGTAATGATGAAAATGGCATGTAAAAAAAGGACAAAATGGAAAATAAAAAAAATACTCAACAGAAAATTAGGAAAGAAGGCAGAGTTCAAAGTTAGGGAGGTTTAATAAAGTTTAATGAGACAAAACTGGAAAACCTGAGATACGATAGGCTAAAATATTGGCAGTGGTGAGATGAAATGAGTTTAGATTAGATTAGATTAGGCAGGATGCGATAGATGAGATGAGATGCGATGTTTATAAATAAGTTATATGCAGGAATAATGCTCATTTTCCAATCTTTTCGCGGCTAAAGACCGAGGGTGAGAATGATGAGGAGCATGATCTTTAGATTCCCAAGATTAGCGCAGATTGAATTCTGAGATGAAGTTGACGTGCATGTGCCAAAGCAACGGAAGCCTGAGATGAATAAGGTAAAATTACATGCGGGCCGCGAATACACGATAGCATATTGCGAATTATAAAAGGAAAATAATAATGGAGAAAGATTCACAAAAGAGAATATGCATCTCTTCCTGTGAACTAGCTCAAAAGCTACGGCCAATATTGAAAAAATGAAATACTCAGTTGACCACGAAGAAAATGACAACACCATTCACTAGTTTACCTACGCAACATGAGAGGATATACTAATTGGATTCATCGGCAGTTAATTGCATAACATGCGGAGTATGCAAAGAGAAATATATTGGCAGAACAGGAAGGAAAATTAGCATACAAATTATGGAATATTAAAGGCTGTGAGTAAAATGGATACCGATAGATCGTGACGGAGTACCATATCGCACAAACTGGACATGGGATCAATTGGAAGGCAACCGAACAAAGAGTCTCATACGAAAATTGTTAAAGGTCATTGACATCCTTGCTGGAGGCAATTTCGTGAATATGAGATCGGACGAAGGCAGAGCCAGTGATTAATTTGAATATTGCTTAAGCAGACTCGTAGGAATCCCACAAAAGGAGATGTCGGGTCAAGAACCTATCCTTAACCAGAGGAAAAGGGAATACAAGGAACGGGTAGATGAAGAGGATTCGAAAGTTCCGAAAAGATAATCACAACCGTTGCAGGAATTCGGCATTATGGCCAGAAGATCGGAGGCAAATTGACAGGAAATCCACTGGAGGTGCAGTAGGAGACCAGAGACAGACCTTCACATTTGGCTAAGGGCACACGGTTTGGATCCCATGGATGGGCCGTGGAGACATTGCCTGATATCTACAGGCATGGGAATCTGAGCCTATGAGGTATATTCGGTGAGGCCACAGTAATCGTGCCAGCCAAGGTATGTGACAAAACATAAGAAATGGGGCCTGGAGTAAAATGAAACCTGAGTCTGGAACCGAGTGAACTCGATCAGCCAGCAAGGTAAGAAATGGATCTTCGGGGCCATGAGCGAGATTCGGAGAGGAGGCCCAAGTCGGATCAACAAATCGAGAGTGAGGAGGGCAAGGTAGACGAGCAAGTGGGATAACGCCCCAGTAAACTGTCCAAAAGAAGCGCGACTCTGGAGGAGTCAATTAGAAATGAGTACGACATAAATTTGGTCAAAGGGTTGACCTCTCATGCCTCTTTGTCAAGTTGTAGTCTGTTGCTGAGACTGGCAAGACTCATTGACCATGCCTATTGAGATGCCAGCGAAATGTCGGCAAATGTACCAAGTCCACGATCCAACGCTGGTAATTATTATATATAATAGAGCAGAAGACTTCGGAAAAGGTGCGTAAACTAGGTCGTCCAGACAACACGACAAAGTTGCGAGAACTATATGGGACCACTTATACGCATCGAAAGGAGGCCACGATCCAAACAGAGACTACAACCTCTTGGTCTTCATATCTAAACTGTGGTACGTCTACTAGCCATCAGTAATTCGCGGCTCATTGCCTGGTATGATTTAGTCGCTTGAGGTGATTTAAGACGTATTAATGGAGGCCCACTCGTATCATTCTGGAAAATTCAACATCTTACGGTTCTGATTCAAAATACAATGTTTCAATATTATGCAGGGCGACCTAGGTTTACTTCCGTTTTGATTCAAGATCTCATGTGTTTATCAGTAGCTTGCAATAATAAATTTTTCAGTCTAGGATGAATCAGGTGAGTTAAGACGTGCTAATGGAGACAAAATCATAGCATTTAAGCCAATATTAATATAGGCCTATCAACACATTAGTCGACTTTGCGTAAGTACAAACGACGTTAAATAGTTAATCAGCGTTGCTATCGGGTAAGTGAACAAATTGCTATCTTGTAGAAAAGTACAAATGATGTTAAATAGTTAATCAGCGTTGCTATCGGGTAAGTGAACAAATTGCTATCTTGTAGAAAAGTAGGCTGCG